GTGTCAACAAAGGATCAACTTTCTAAGATCAATTTCCGGGACATGGTGGGGTGCTCAACCGGAAGACCTCATTAAACTATATAAAACGACTATTATTTCAGTTCTTGAGTATGGCTCTTTTTGCTTCCTCTCGGCAAGAAAAAACCACCTAATCAAATTGGAACGTATTCAATATCGTTGTTTACGTATTGCCCTTGGCTGTATGCATTCAACACACAATATGAGCCTAGAGGTCCTAGCGGGCGTAAAACCCCTGCCGAACAGTTTCTGGGTGCTCTCATTAAGATTATTGATTAAATGTAGTTGTGGTAACGGTGTAGATAAGTCGTGATTTCGACCATGCAGAATAATCCCCGAAAGAGTAGGAGATAAAGTGAGAGCGGGACGAACATATGATCAGGACAAGTTGGTCAGGTCTGAGATGTGTATTTAATGGGCATGAGAAATATATATGAGTTAAATCGTTTGTGATTATCAACTGAACAAGTTGTTTGATTTATAGATAGTATCACTACCCGAAGAAGGCCAAGTTAAAACAGTAGTGTCAGTAACAACCTTGTGATTGAAAACTTCGAAGAAATGCTCGAATTGAGCTAGACTGGATAGATTCGTGCGAATCTATCTTAATTATATGTCATCGGATATTAGCCTTCCTTGCTATAACCCCTCTCGTGTATGCTTTACTAACTACAGTTCCCCCATTGACTATGATCTCTCCATGAAACAGGCTATTCAAGGAGTTTTAGATCAACTTCGACCTATCTCAATTCCCCGCATTTTTGTTGAAAACTACCAACAAGCCAATTGCAATAGAAGATTTTTCACTGATGGATCACGCATTGATTGATCCACTGGGTTCGGCGTCTTCAATGAATACTCAACCGCCTTTCGGAAACTTCAGGAACCTTGTTGCGTTTATGTTGCTGAGCTAGCAGCAATCAACTTCGCATTGGGGATGATTTCCGATATGCCCATAGACCATTACTTCATCTTCTCGGATAGTCTCAGTTCGATTGAGGCTATTCGGTCGATGAAACAAGGTAGGCTAAGATGAGTGCCTCCTTTCAAAGGTAGGGGAGCAGATGAGTTTACTGGTCGAAAGATCTTATATGATTACCTTTGTATGGGTCCCCTCACATTGCTCAATCCCAGGCAATGAGAAGGCAGACTCTCTCGCAAAGGTGGGCGGGTGCACAACAAGGCGAGAATAGAATAAACCTCGTTGTCAGCAATATATGTAGGTGCAGAACCGGTTATGATGACATCGATCACGCAGTTTGGTATTGCCCGGGTAATGATGCCTCCAGAGCACGAATATTGGATACCCTAGTGGCCCGAGGTAGACAACCCTTCCGTGAAGTAAGAGATGTATTGGGAACACGTGATATTCCCTGCATACAAGCGATCTACGAATCCTTGTTTGTCTGATGTTAGAGTTTGATGTGACTATTCCCTCCTTTCCAAACAATTTCCCGCCATTGTGTCCCTGTCTTATTATCCTCCTGTTCCTGTGCGACTTGCCCCTGCTCAGCCAGGATTTGGTCAACCGTCCGAGAGTTGTATCTGAAGGAGGCTTCAGAAACCAGTTTCCTACCTAGATCCTTCCAATCGAAATTGTTACCCATTAACCTCGAGTAATTGGTACCCAATACTAACCCAATACTAACCTAGAAAAACTGCTATTAAAAATGTAAATCAAACATTTCTGATTTTGGCTCCGCAAAGTGTCACACACGACTGAGCCTAGTAAATAAACGAACAAGTTAAAAAAAAGTAATGAACCCATTGGTAATAGAAAACTTTGAGAAGCTGCTCAACAGAAATCCTCAAACAAGATTCATGAATCTCTATTACGAGTACATGACGCTGGAGATTGGCCCTTCTTCATTCAATTCCTCTCGTGTTTGCCTCCAAGACTGTTATAGTTCCTTTGTAAACTTTGATCTGACCATGTTGCAAGAAATCCGTGGAATACCAGATCACCATCGGTCGATGGTTGTTCCCTTAATTTTTGCAAACAAGTACCACCATGTCAGTAACAATAAGAGTTTTTTCACAGATGGGTCAACTATAAACGCTTCCACTGGATTTGGAGTATTCAACGAATTACATAGCGCCTCATATCAACTGCAACTGCAAAAACCCTGTTCCATATATTGCAGAACTAGCATAATCTACGCAGTAGAGAAATTGCATCACCACCTTCTGACCATTATTTCATTTTTACGGAAAGTCTTAGCTAATTGGAGGCTATTCGTTCAATGAGGCTGATGAAGCACTCCTCGTATTTCCTGACCGAAATACGAGCCAAATTGAGTACATTATCTAACTGCTCCTATACCATCACTTTAATCTGGGTCCCATCTAATTGCTCTATTGCGGGTAACGAGAAAACGGTCTCGTTGGCTAAAGTGGGCGCTATGGAAGATGATATTTTTGATCGATAAATCGCCTTTGCGGAATTTTTCTCAATTACCCGTCAGCAAGTCCTCACCAACTGGCAACTAAAATAGAATGAGAATGATCAGGGAAGATGGTTACATTCCATTCTCCCACAGGTGTCGATCAAGCCGTGGTTCAAAGGGTTGGACATGAACCGTGACTTTATACGTGTCATTGCTCGTTAGATTCGCATTTCTTTCGAATCGAGCTCGCAGGCAGCAATTTGTGAGCTTGTGGTAGTGGTTATCACGAGATCGACCACGTACTTAGGTCATGTACCCTCCATTGTGTAACTGTATCCGAGTTATCTGCATCCAGCAGGGCCCGAGGAAAACAACCTTTATGGCCCGTTTGAGACATCTTGGCGAGCCGAGATCTCGACTATTGCAATTTAATTTATGTGTTTTTAAAACGGATAGAACTGAGGATTTACTAGTAAGGGTCATCTTGTGTTCCCCCAAGTTGTGAACTGCCCATCGGTTTACCCCCATGTTTGTCTTTTTCATCAGTTTGTCGCTTAGTTCGAGATCAAGAGCAATTGCTCTCCAAACCTTGTGTTTTCAATCCCTACCCTACCATCAACTTGCTACAATTTGTTACCCCTAACCTCGAGATAGCCGCGAGTAATCGGCCCCCGCTTTACTAACGTTAATTTTAGCTAATTTTGTAATCTAAGCAATGAAAATCGGCTCCGCAAAGCTACGGCAAATGAGCCTTTAATGCTGTTTTATTGATCGTGATTGTTTTATGCTACAAGAAGCTTGGCAGCCTTGTGACTACTGATTTTGCTGACTGCTTATTGGACCCAGGCTAAGGACATGTACCTTCTGGCCTGTTCATAACAATTTGATTGGCGTTTTGGCTCCGGGTGTAAATATTTGTAACTCTGCTCAATGAAACAAAAACTTTCAATTTTTCAATTTAATATCAAAACTCATTCTAATTATCAATGCTGATTCAAAATGATTCCCGAACTTGATCCAATATTACCATTTCCATTTCGATATTCCATTTTCGTCGATTCAAATTACTAACAGCTTCCAGCCAAAATCAGTCCTCCACCCCCTTGTTCCACATCATCCGGTACAGTCTCCGCTGATTATACGGCAGCAAATTCGATTGTAATGGCAGTTAACTTAACTTGCAAATTGGAAACCACACCAAACCGAGATCTTAACTTTGTAGCCGGCGAAATGAGATTGCCCGTTTCCTAATCCAGGCAGAAATTCTGTCTGCGTTCCTCCTTCATGAGCTGCTGGCTGCTCGAACAAGAGAAACCATCGACATTTTCCAAACTGCTGCAGACGGAAACAGTTGACAGAAGGTTCCTCCCCATTTTATCCTCGCCCGGTGCGGTTGCCCTTCCTTGCCAGCTGTGGAAACTCAATAAGACACAGTATTGTCACAGTTTTTGTCAATTTTAATCGAATTAGCATTCAAATGAGCAGCAGCAGCATCAGCAGCAACTTCGGCAAGTGAAGAAATCGAACGGAAGAAGCAGGAATGGATTTCTTTCAATAAACAGAAGAGTCGACTGGATGTTACTTTAAAATAACGTGAAATCTGTGTTTTCTTGATATTTCTTTGGCTATAAAACTTCTGTCCATTACATCATAACTGTACGATAAACATATTTGCGGGCTTTGAAATGTCCAAGGTTTCGTTTCCTACTAGCAATGGTAATCTTCATTTTTTCATTACGTTTCGTATTCAATGTTGTAGGTAATAGTTTGAAATCATCTATAAAATATTCCGTGGCTGCCACGGTTAAGTTCACTTAATCGCCATCATTTTTCTATATGAAAATCGCGTTAAAATTGTTCGCTCATTTGCTTTCTGTATTAAACTGTGTTCACAACTAGATTCTGCGATGATTCAACTTCCTTGGATTTTCATTTTTAACTACATTTACTAGTGTATGTGTGTGTGTCTGTTGAAAATTAAAGCATTCCTCCCGAAGTGTGTGTCGTACTGTAAACTATGCATTTGACAATCCCTTTCTTAGAACCGAATGGCTTTCGTCACAATGTGATTTCCTATGCGCACAATTTCTTATGCCAGCTTTTTTTTTATGTTCCCTACAAACTTGATTCGCTTTCATTCGTATTCATTAGGTAAAATATTTTTTTAGTATTATTACACAGATAGTTGTTTGAAAATATTTCCATTCGATGAAATTTCAAATTTCCTCATCCAGAGGGTGTTTTTGTATGACAAAAACATGTTATCGTAGCTAATCTGATTTCTTCGGTAATCACATTTGTGCTTGCTATGGGGGATGGTGACTCGCGCCGTTTGTTGGTTGGTCACTGATGTTGGCTATGTCTTAATGGTGCAAACTTTTGTTCCTCACAAAACAAATACGCATCTTTCTTGGAATAATTTTTCATGTAAATTCAGTAGCTTTTATCATCTATGGTCGCTATATAATACAAAAATCATGTAAGAATTATAAATGAGCCATTTTTGCTATTTAATAATATTTATTAAAATTATGTGTTAATTTTAATTTTGAGCTTAACTTTGTTTTCAAACTAAAAAAATGCATCACCGACTATAGGTTCAAAGCAAACCTTTAACTCAAACGTAAAATTGAGTAAATTATTCACAAACAGCAGCAACGCCACTATCCCAAAAGCGAAACACCTAGAATCGAAAGTGGGTCCCTTTCCCTATCCAACCACTCCCCCCTTTTTGGTTGCTGCACTATTGTAGTGTCAAAATAAGAGCCATCTCTATGCTGGTACAGAGTTCAACATCTACTTATCCCCATTGACTAAACTTCATCCCCCGAGGGGGAGTCCAGTCCACCGTTGGATGACCGGGAATCGCTATGCAGTGTAACTTTCGGTTCCAGTGGAATTTCCTCCTGCATGACAGAGGCCATCGTAGTGGTCATCGCCGTCACCGTCGCACAGTTCGTCGTTGTCGTCGTTGTGGTCGCCACCGTCACCATCGTCGCCGCCGTCGTCATCATCGCTGTTGTAACCATCGAGGGCACTGCCATCCCGGTCGGCATTCGGCTGAAATCTCGACGATCCACTAAAAATAGACAAGGTAGACAGAAAACTCGTGAGAAATGCAATATTATTCTCTGTCTTAGTCGTGACCCAAATGCCTGTGTTTGGGGGGTGGGGGTAGGCCCAGCATCATGAGAGATGTGTATAATTCTTACCCATAGGAACCAGCAGTTTCGGTTGTAATGGAAGCAATAAATCCACGTTTCCGGTTGTGGGCTGCCGGGGCTGTAGGGAATTCAGCTGCGGGACATTGATAAAGTCACCTGGTGGGTAGAACAATTGGGTACCGATGAATTCAGAGGATAAATGAACATCCCAGGATGAAGATAAAAGCAAAAGTTTATCTGATTAATTGACGATGGTTAATCACAATTTTGGGAGATAGTATACCTTGCTGCATGAGAGAGGGAGGCTTCAGGACGGCCAAACCCGGTACCGAGGGTCCTTGCAGGGTGAGACCTATCACGTTTACGCCATTCACGTTACCTGCAAAGGGTTTCAGAGGAAATGGATGTATCTCGGATGATGTTGAGATAGGTATGATAATCAATTGGATGATAAATGGAGGGTATTTTGCCGTATCAACTTTCCTAAGCGTGAACATTGATCATGGCATGAGCTGAATTAATTATGTATTGCTTCCGCAGAAGCTTTGGTTTCCGGAAATACATTTCAAGGTGACTCATTAATTCGGAGAAAAACGAAAACTTTCTCCTTGCGTTAGAAATCCGGTCACTCGTCCACTAGATGGTTGCTGTATTACATGCTGTGTTACATCACAATCATTAGCAGTATATAATCGTCGGCAAACTGTTAAAAACAACTTAGTTCAAGAGTTTTTCAGCTCCCTCGTTACGATCATCCACGGCGCAGGGAGGGAGTCTCTCCCCATGTAAGACGAAGAAAAAAAGTTAAGAAAGCTTTGTTCGAAACAAGTAGGACAAACTAGTGCCTCCTTTCTATTTTTTTTCTCTTTTCTCGGAATCAACTAGTCACTAGTCAAGTGGCCAGTAACTTGGTGTGAACTGTCGGGCTCAAGCAACATATGGTCGGTTTAGGTTGCGACGAGTGTGTTTGAGTGGCAAAAAAGAGGGACTATCTACTGTTGGACGTGATACTTTTTCCACTTTCTTGCGATGATGGTCGACAGAGGTAAACCTGGAGGCACAGATGATAATGAGGGAAGGTTAAATTTGAGTGGGTGAGAGTTCTTGGAAAGGGGTACAGGAAAAAGACTTGACAAAAGCTCCCGATAGCCTTAAGCACACATGCTGAGAGCAGTGGGTTAGATTTTTGAGTTGATAGTTTCTTAGACAACCGATGCAAAGTGCTAATTTTATGCTTGCTACAAGAAGTATGCAGTAAAACATCTCAACAATTGAGCATCTAGATTAAACAATGCATCGAGAAACTTTAATTATTGAGGACAGAATCAAGTAGAGCATTCCATGACACATAGGGAATAACATTAAATATTAGACTTGACGTTTTCCGAATTCGTTCAACAAAAAGTTTATAAATTTGCTCAGAATTGAATTTTTGATAATTTTTAAGATTGTGTTTTTTCGGTCGCTGTATTTTCGTTGACTTCGGTCACTTTTTTCCAATATTTTTTTCATTTTTTATAAATATCTAACGCTATACAGTAGGAACATAGTGCCTTTGAATAGAACTTTTGATGTGTGCTGCTGCGAAAAAAACATCTACAAGCAAAAGGAGAAGGACGATGGTGACAATAATGTCTTAAGATAGGATCTATAGACACATAATTTGGTGAGATCTTTTAATATTATTTTTCTGACAATGGATACTCCCAATCGTGTTTTACATCATGCTATATTAAATACGCGCTGGAATCAAAGCATTGTTCTGAATCTGAAGGTGTGCTTGCAGTTCCTTTAGCCATGTGATATCGGAACTGTTGACATGTGGAGCTTATGGCTTCTGAAAGTGACTTCGGAATTGGTATGAATTATCAAACATTTTAAAATGGGTTTCTGGATCAACAGTAGAGCTAGCACCTTCATTTCCCGGACTAAAGCTGCTTCGGTTATCTCTAATATGATAGTTTCAAGTATTTTTCTTCGATAATACCACTTGCAAGAAATGTTGTAAACAATATTTTGAGTGTTAACTTGTATGATACATTACGCTCCTTTAATATGTATTATAGTGATAATAATTCAAATGACTTTTTTCAACTGTGTAGGCTAAGAACCATTTTCAACCAACTTGGCCAAATTTGAGAACTGTTACTTTCAAGAAAATGGTCAAAATGTGTTGTGAAATAATATTCAGCATGCATATTCAGCAATAATATTCAGACATTTTTATTGCATTACACTCAATTCTGTAACGCGTTTTTTTCGTCTCTATTTTTAATCGTGTAATCTCAAATTGCTACCAAGTGGTATGCAACATGTTTCAAAACATAAAAAACCAAGAATAATATTATGGAATTAAAAAATGTGTACCCATCCTGCATAAGGGTAAAATAAAAAAAATAAAATACCGTAAAAACATAATTGAGTTTTATTTGATTACAATTTAATTACCGATGGTCATAGCCTACTTCGATGCCAGGCTTGTATTTGCATCGAATCATTTTTTTTTTTTTTTCATTAGGCTTGATGTCAAAAAACATAATTTTGCTCTAACGTTCGAAAGTTTCCGAAACATAGCGATGTGATTTTTGAAAAGCTGATAAAGATTTCTTAGACAATGCCAAATTGGAAGAAAAAAATTATCTGTTATTATACATCATCTGAAAGTGCTTTGTTTTCTGAGCACAACGATATTTTTTTTTATTCGATCCGACAGCCTTTTATCTCGAGTTTTAAATCAAGATTAAATGCAAGATAATAACTTCACTGTTTGAGACTCAACTATCAAATTGACAGCTCGCTCCCATACAAAGTCCCACCGAGGGGCGCTAAGATGGTGATTTTTGCGAATGTCATCGTGAGTACCGGAATGATGATTCGCGGTAGTGGTAGAAGGGCTCTTCGCAATGCGCCGTGGTATGAGAGGTCCCTTTTGTTCCCCCGTTGTTAGGATAGAAGATGGACTTTGACGTCAAAATCCGTCATCCGTTTGATCGGTCTTTGTCATGAAGCAGGATCTAAACTCCATTGATGATGATGATATTAAACTTCTTTCGGTTGCTCTGCTACAGTCAACTCTCCATAACTCTATGATCTCTTCAATATCAATGTATAAATATCATTTTTATATATGAAATTTATTAATTTATGTTGATCTTCGTCAAGCTTCGTCTACAATTTGGACTTCTACATCAGCTAAACTTGGTGAGTTCGTTCCATTTGGTAAATTTTTATCTTTTCAAACCAGTAACGTTGGGAGATCACCTTTTTGTGGTGCGTTACTGGTATAAGATCTACCACCGAACCCTAGCCGTGACCAATTCAAACTAGGGAATCAGGATTTTCCAATTATCAAAGGATAACATTTTATTCCTTGATAATAGTGACCACCGCCGTTATCCATTTCTGTATAGAATATTTCATATCAAAAATATTGTTAATGTTCATAGATTTCACATAATCCTTTTCCCTTTGTCCTTCTCCTTTACTTTCCCTCTTCTCTTTTCAGAAAGCGAGTAATGGCGCTATAGCCATAATTAATAAAAGGCTAGGACAAGAGTTAGTGCTCTTGTCCCAACCGTCAGAAGAAAATGGAGCATCACTTAACCTTTCTAGCTTTGATGCTTCCAACGACTAACCAGTCATATAATTAACAAAATCGGAACGTACGGTACGAGAGTCCACGTTTCATCTATTTATTGGATTCTAAAGCATCGTGTTTAAATCTTCGATTTAAACAGGCCCGATGTTTTCTGAATCATCTTGCCCCTTAAATGCTGCACAGTAGGCCTGGCCGTTTTGATATGTGTGACGCATCTTCGATGTGAAACATATATCAAATAGACAAGAAAAATGATGTAGGTATATATATCATTTTCCAGGATGCTATTATAAACTGGCTGTGTTGGTGTTAGATTAGATTAGAATAGAATTGAATTTTTGATAATTTTTAAGTCTGCATCTTGAAACGTTTATATAAATTGTAATTTTTCAAAAGCTTTCTAATTAAAAAATATTCAAAAAAATTAAAGGAGATTATTTTATATCGTGTTTTGTTTTATGTGTGTACATATTTTTTATTTTTCCTTAAATTATGTCCTTTTTTTTACAGTTTGTATTTTTTGATGAAATTCTAACTAATTTTCTTAAAACTTTGTCTTGCACGTCATTTCGATTGGAAGTGACGTTTTTGAGTAAAAATTTATTGAAAATATCGAATACGCCATTTCGATAAGTTTATCATGAAGCGTGTGGTTTGATTTTCGGTCCGGTTCAGAAAATTTTCGGGTTGATTAAAAATTGAAAAGCTTTTTTTCGAAGTTCCGCACACAATAGAGCAGCGTTTCTCTATCTATGGATCGTGACCAAGGTGGCCATACCTACCGATTTTCGGGATGCCTACCGATTCACAGACGAAAGCCTCAAAACTATCGATTTATCACTTTTCCTGCCGAGAATCATAGATTTTTAGTAATCTTGACAAATGTTCATTACCTATGTTTTGTTTTCCGTGTAGTCAGTCAATTTGATCGAACGCGATGCGTTTTGCAACTTCAATCCAAACGGATGAGTTTTTTTTAACGTTTAATCGACTTTCTCTGTCTGTCTCCTAGCGGAGATGCTTTTTCTCCTTGATTTGTTTTCCGTAGATTTTGTTTTCCGTTCTGAGCACCGACGCCATGGAGGCAGCTCCCACACCTGGACCCTACCTATCGACCCATAAACTCATGAACCGGGGACCAACGGCTTTACTTCCCTTCCAAAGGAGAGATGGCGGGGCCGACTGGGATTAAACCCAGGCCTGCTGGGGCGAGAGGTAATCACACTCACCACTACACCAGTGGCGCCGCTTGGCTGTTTCTCCCTTTTTTGGTTCCGTTTTTTTTGCCAATTACCGGTCAGTGCCAGTTAAATTACCGAAAATTACTCAAATTACAGGGAACTGATGCAGATATCGAAAAATATAAATTCTCATTATTGATCATCAAGCATGGGAAAAATCGATTCATTTTGCATTAACAACTCACTCACACGCATACAACATCAGAAACGAACAGCAGCTTGTGCGAGCCGCACTGATTTCGTTCGTATTCGCATTGCTTCTATTTTCTTCGATGAACGCAGAATTGTGCAAAACAGACAGCTGAGCGTAACATGAATGATTCTGAGTGTAGTAGTGTGGATGATTTCTCTTTTATTATTTTTGCCATGCTGAATTTTGCAGAAAGAATCACTTTTTATATTATTGCTTTAAACATACATTGACACATTTAAATTGCTGTTAATATGGAGAAAACGGTAATACTGTGACCAAGGAAACAAAAATATCTCCAAATGACAAAATGACAAGCGATCAACGAACCGAATGATAACGCTATGTCA